TGACTTGAAAATTCCGAATGTATCTCTAGAACTAAATATAGTGAATAATAGAAAAAATAATACCGCTTTTTTTGAGCATCGTGTACGCAGGCTTCAAATGGATTTCAGATTCGAATACAAGATGTCGGTGGATTGACTTTAGTAATATTGATGGCGTTCTTTAATGACGATAACTCAAAGTAGGTTTTATAAGCTTATCGAACAAATCGTTGCATAGTTGGTCTATTTGACCTGTTTAAGCAATAGTAGGGTGTCGTGAGACCGGTTCCCTTACCTAAGGACGATTCATGCAGCCCAAATGCAAACCCCGTCCGACACAGATGGCCAGATCTTCTCAACGTCGAATGAAGCTGCCGGCGAAAAAAAATGGCGTTTTACTGACAACACTTCCGCTCAATCAAAATGTAACGTGTCAAATTCACCTAGGAAACGAACTGCTATGCCTAACCTGCTGATGATCGATAAAAGTTGGTCGCATGAAATAGCGTTTGTACGGCAACTAGATACACAAAAACATCAGCCTATCTGCAATACGTTTGCCGTTACGCTGGATGTCGCGGTCATCATTGGGCTGTTTCGGGCCTGGATTACTCTAATTGGATCAACGATCCATCAATATGCCCAACTGTGAAAACGAGCTCGGAACGCATGTTCTATCGTGAATGGTTATTTTTGTCAACACGGGGCCGTGCATGATAAGTTGCACGACATGGCAAACTATTTACCATTAATGAGCTTACTCGTGACGCTGAAAGTTGTTAGCTGGTTTCCTGTTATGTACAATCGTCGTATTTTTTGTACTGTTCTTACTCTCGATTGTTATTATCGTCGCTGATAGAGTTAGTGTTCATTCGATTTGGCCATTGTCACGATAGGAGACCTACAGAGACTTCGTAGTTTGCGTTTTACCCTATGTTTGCTTGATTAGTGTTTTTGCCTCGGTCTCCCCTACGGAGATGGGTAAATTAATATGCAGATTGTTAGTGCCAAAGTTAATACGACCGAGTACACAAATAAACAATACATGAAGACCGTGTGATTTATTGTGCTACTCTTCTATCTTGTGTATTGTTAACAACAGAACCTAACACGAATACAACGTCGACCATAATAATCAGCTGCAAAAACAACAAAATGTCTCCGTCGTTACTGAATTGATCATTGAAGCAAAAAATTTGCTACATAATTGCCGTTGTCGGCCATGATCACTTTCGTGCCGCCCTTTATCAAGGTGTCTCATATTCTTCATTTAAATGCCTGACTAGTTACCTGTGTGTGCATGCTCGTGGTCGGCCTCACCAAAGCTATGTACATACGCTACAAATTGATCCCATACACATGTATATAGATCGACACCCGCGTTCGCTGGTCGCTGTCATCTGCTATTGTAGCTTCTGGCATTGTTGCTACTGCGGGACCGCTCGCGCGTAAACCAGCTGCTGTTGCCGGCATCTGAATGAGCGACGAACGTACGGCGTCCGATCTGCCCCTCTCGAATGCGCACGCGCAATCGACGCTGACCAATTGGCCGGTGCCGTCCATTGATCGATCGGTAGGGAACGACATAGGATTATACGTATCCATCAGCGAGCAGGAACTGTTCGGAGTGAGTATTCATGCTGGATTACCCGTTCAACGAATCCCGTTTATCCACAGCCTGCGGTGAACGCTGCGCGAACTATGACAAATAGACGGCCAGTTACTTAGTTATGTGCATCCGTCTATGAATATAATACCCATATTATCCATTATGTAGTGCATTGGTAGTCCGGCTTCGTACTACTACCACAACTTGTAGGTACGCATTGTTCACGCAGATAGAAACGCAAGAGACGCGTTGGTAAACAAACGAGTGCGTCGACGATCTAAGAAGAAGCGGTGACTGCCGCAGCTGCTTGCGCATAGCAACAGCGTTAAGCCCTTAACCCCCCCCCCCCCCCCTGTTGAAAAAGATAACCCCTCTGACCGGGACGCTGCTGCGCGGAACAGCGTAAAAGGTGAAATAATAATAATAATAATGCCTTGTATAAATTTGTACGACGCGGCAGGAGCAGCCGATAAATCAGTAAAAGTAATACGAAGACGACGACGACGGCGAAAGAAGCAGAATATCGTTGTGTAGGTGATCATTTTTTCGAAGATTTGTCTCGCTAAGTGTCTTAAACATTTGACGACCGTGGCCTTCCTTCGACTAATCACGATATAGTACGACTGCTCTCTTCTTCTTCTATCTAGGTATTTCCTGATGTTGCTTGATTGTTTAGGTCCATTCTCCGATCCTCATCATCTATGACATCGTACGATAACCTGATGAAGAGAGAAAAGCAGAAGCGTCTGTCTTCTTTTTGTTCTATAGGATGCCAAACGCTCCAAAGAATAACTGCTGTCTTCAGACAGTTATCACTACTGATTGCATTGGAATCCAATTCAATTTTTCTGATTATTCGTGTTTTTTTTTTTTTTTTTAATAATCCCTTCATGCTGCTAATTAGCAAATTAAGCTTACGAATACGTACGAACGAGATGAAATTCGAATGTTGTAAAACTGGGTGCAGCCTTAATCACAATCAAACAACCCAGTTGACATTGTGTAGTTTGGAGAAAACTGGGACGCATAAGGCGCATTGTCCACTTTCGAATATTTATTCTGTGTGCCTTTAGGTTTATAGGCTTGAACATAAGGCACAGACTAAAAAGAAGAGAAAAGACATCTGATTCCATTGTAACTGACGAAGTCGACGATATCCCATAACGATTTGACCTGGCGAAGTGCGCGAACTTGAGCGCCGAAAAACCTCAGATTTTTTTCATCCTTCTAAATTAATTCGATAACCGCAATCAGAATAAGAACAAAGCCAGCTAATGCTATTATGGTTATTGTATAGCATCGATGTACTAGTTTATTATAAAAGCACTATAACCCTTTCATCCATAAGTAGTGCGCACCGTTCGCCATGACCTGCCCCCGTCGCATTAAACAGTTGTGCTCTTATTGACGTCAGCGTCACCGCTTCCACATTATTATTATTATCAAAAACGGTTAAACTAGCAGCATGTTATCTCAAACTGGTATTGTGCTTGCTCGTGGGTAGCAGGGCATCGTTTTTTGGGGTTCTATCGTCGTTCACGTTGCCGGGACCAACTGCCCCTTTCCTAAGTTGGGTTGCCATCGTCCCAGCACGTTGGGTATCATTGAATAGTCTCGAAGTAAGCTTGGGGTCTGCCGCGACAGCTCGACTTAAAGATATACATTAGTAGTTGCTTGTACCGCTGTTGTCGCTATCACTCCATCGGTGTCACGACTAACTACAAACCGAAAGCTCTTTGAGGTCCTCGGCGGTATACTTATGGTCCTGCTTGGTTTTGGCCACAGCAACAGCTCGTGGCTGTGATGCTTGGTCCTGGCGTACTATGATGTACTCCACCTACTCGTAGTGTTCCAGTGTCGTCTGCTGCTCCTGCTGGCGGAGTTGCTGCCACAGTCGCATTTGATCGGTAGTCGGGGCACGCACTCGGGGGTATCCCTGGCCCAGACAGGCGGCCGTTATCGTTGCAGCAGCAACGACGCCAGGTGTAGCTCCTTCCGCCACTCCTGGTCAGTGTTACTGCCGTTTCCACAAACCTCCTGTTAGACAACCGCAATAACACGACCAGCAGCGTTAGCTACAGAATTGGTCTTAAAGCTAGCAAAGACTCATTTCTGCGGAAGACGGCAACGGCGGCTAGTAGCATCTCGTCATTATCGTCAGGTTGCAAAGGGTCTCAACGAAAAACACTAACGACCCGCCTGGCTACGTTAATTGGCCGTATGGGCCCCGATCGCTTAAGCTTACTAGAAAAATAGATGGATCGGTCTAGCAGGCGGTATCGCAAGCAAAAATCAACACACGGACGGGGAAAATAAAGCACAAGACTCAACTGGGAAGGGTAGCTAGCGAATAAGCGGCCCAGATGCAGTTAGTTAATGGTGGCGTATAATATTCCTGATAGATAGTAGTTGAAGAATTGTCAGTCTGCGACCCAATTGTATAGCACAGGTTGTAATACCTATTTCAGTCGACCGGAATCATGCACTGAGACTGCGTTGGATCAGATAGATGTATCTGCTATAGGGACTGTGCGCTCGTCTCGCTAACGAGTGCAGCGTATCATATGGATACAGTAGAGAGAGACCGATACCCTATGTTGGAAATGTTACAAGAAAAGCGGAGCCAACCGATTCTATTTTTCAACAACCGCTATCATTATATATTTTCTCGTCAATCTCCCATCACCTCTTTGTCTATTGCCAATCGCACCGATCACCATTTGGCCAGCTAAGTTTCAAGTGTGCTAATTCATATTGCACACCGGAATTCGTCTTGCTCAAATCCTATCGATGAAATGGCTACGGTTACGTAAGTGTGCCACAAAAGCACAGTTTCTTTATTAGGAAATATTCTATTCATTCCGAATAGGTGTACAGGCGTCAGCGTGTCGCCGAAGCTTATACGTTGGCTAGCTTAGTGGCAGGTCGAACGCGCGACGGTAGGTGAAATAGGCTGGCTGGTCTACCCGAAATCATTCTTTGTAATGCATCTATGAATGTCTCTAACCACGCTGATAATCAAGAATTTCTCGGAAAGGTAGACACCGTCAGATCGGCTGCACTAAGTAAATTATAAGTCAGTATCTGATGCTGGACTCGCATTTACCGTCAAAGCCCTTACAGGAGGTAAGCGTGGTAAGCAAGACCGTAGAGCAAACGTGGAATACTTCGTCGAGTCCTCTAGGCAGACTGTGTACAGGAGTGCCTGCTAAAAGAAAAGTTTTACCGAAATAAAGACACGACGTTTCCGTGGAACTATAGAAAGAGAAAGAGTACCTATCTAATATACTTGTCTCCATAAAAGCATAAGCTTTCTAGCAACTAGAAAATAAAAGACTATGAAAATGATGTGCTGATACACTCACAAGCAATTACGTTTGATTAATACCATGATTGAAGATTATTACATGCATTCGAAGGAGATCCCTAAAAGACATCGGAGCAATAATTTGTCAACCACAGCAAAACTAACCTAAAATTAGATGGTCGAAACAGCTGTCTCTATTCAGGTCTATCCTAGTATGTGTCGCTTACATAGGCAACAACAAATCACGAGCAACAGCTTGAGTTAATAACAACTTGTTTCTGGGAAAGAACGATGCGGGTATGTATTGTTGTGGACAATGACCGGCTGACGAAAGGCTTACCGTAAAAGGTAAGGCCTAAGGAGCTGATAATGAGCAATGATTCTGAAAGGATGTTTAGTGCCAAGCGTAGCGAGAATCTGGGTGGTCCAAAAGAGCGTGGGATCACCTTTATCGAGCCTGTACCACAGTTTCAGCAACAATCAGGCCAACAACAATCGATTTTCCCGTCATCTGCCGCGGAACGGGGAGCTTTCGATGTCGGAGTCACAAGTCCTTTGCCCCCATGGGCTGGGCAAAAACTACCAACTACTGGAGTATTGTATCCACCGGGACAGACATCAAGTACATGTTTGGATAGGCCACCGTTAGGACCGACGTTTAGTCCGACGCCGAACCAGGGCAACCAAACAGTGTTCTCTGCTGGAGTTGCAACATTTCTACCCTTATCGGAGCGCCCACTTGGGTCTAACGGGCCGTTCGGAGCTATGCCAGATCTGATTCGACCATTTTTGGCGCCCTATTCCCTCGCTCGAAATGTGTATGATATACGACCGCCGAACCCGGGAAAGCTTACTATTGAACTCAACACGTACCTTACTAACAATGAAATCAAGACCGTCACGGACATCTGTTCGGACAACTACAGTTCACAGGACAGAAATGCTGATGTGGCTGACCAGCTGCGTGAAATTGTCCAGAAGCGAAATAAACAAATCAAATGGATTACTGCTTGCGGAAATATGTCCACAGCACAATTTTGTGCAGGAAGAGATTCGGCCTTATTCGCAAAATACGGGGACCTAAACATCGCGATCCTAAAGGGATACTATGTTGGCGGACGAATAGCGTAAGTTGTTCTGAGATGTTTTCTCAATTACCAGAGATTTAGAGCTGATCTGTTTCCAGAACTAGTAATGTTCTACGATGTGACTTTCATTACTCTAACAGGCGCAGAATTGCTTGAACGGCTTCCTTCACCTGTCTTATGTCATATGGCTTTACGACGCTCTCGGAAGAAAAATCCAAAGCATTCGTTTTTAGCCTATTTCCAATGTTAACATACATATCGATCAAAGCTAATTGAACATTTTTCCTTTCGCAGATAGTCCATCCTGCTAGGTAGGCTTGAGAACTTGAGGTAGTAGAAAACTATAAACTATTAGCCACTGGTAGTGCCAATTCTGACGTATTCACAGCGTACCGAAGTGTACTAGAGAACAATTGCAGTTACATGTTATGACCAGTGGTAGTGATTTTCCTGTTTGCTGGCAAGTCCGCCCAGTGAGGACACTCCGGGTGCTCAGTTGAAAGATGTGAAGAAGTTGATCCAATTCCGCGAAGTGACTGGAAGGGAGTCCGAGGACCCAACGGCCCAGGTCGTTCGGTACGTTGTCCAAAAGCACGATATGAACACTGCTCCAAAGATATGCTCTGACCTCAGAGAGGTAGGTTAATTAATCTTCATGCACGTTTGTAGGTACGTTTGTTTTGCTGCATAACTAGTGAGCTAGTTATTGCAGGTAGCTGGAAGGTACGCGGTATGACCGTTCGATTTTTTTGCTCGCAAATCGTTGTAACGAATAATAAAACTGGCATTTGTCAATATAACTCCTTTATTATGAATTATTAAGCTATAGGTTGTGTTATAATGATTAACTAATATTAAGTTATAAGACTATGCATTATACTATAATATAGTATAATGCATAGTCTTAATGGCAAAAATGCCACTTTCTGCAGAAAGATCTTTTCGGCCGCTCATGCCCTGTACAGGCGGCACGTGAAGAGGGGTGCCGCAATCAACGGTCAGCTTTGAAAAGCATTGCTCTACATTCTCAAGCTTCTATCTACGCTCCGAGTAGTTTCGAGTCCTAGGTTGAAGGACACCTAAAAATATGCCTTGTGTACTAAGGGGCATTTCGTGTCTGGTGTTTATGGTGAGCTGACATAGGTGCGATCAATTACAGCATAAAGCATGGGTAGTTTGGTCGGGTCGGACTCGTCGGTAAAACGCTAGGATGGAAAGCTTCTGTTACTTGGTTTAAGTGACGCGTAATGATCTCGTTGCAATAACATTTCAGATGCTACACAAACGCGACTCAAGTAGCGCGTGGCTGGTTATCTGTGGTAAACAATACAGTATCGGCATCGAAATGGGTTTGGAGAATCCGGCAGTCGCTTACTTTGGTGAAATGAATCAAACGAGAGTGACAATTATCAAAATGGCAAGAAATATGGTCTATTAAGGGAAACAGTGTTGCCACTATGGTCGATGCTAATTGATTCGGGCAACGAACGACGGTGAGATCCTTTGCTAGCTATCTAGTCAAGCAGGATCATTTTTTATGTTGTGTAAATACAAAAATAATTGTATTTTTTGTGTCAAAGAAAATTGTTTTTATTGTGCATCAAAAATGATTAGACACACGTATGGTGAGCTTGTTACTTGGGTCCTAGCCCTGGATTCTATAGTAAGTTGAGATCGACGGCGCACAACAAACCTCTCCTTTCGTCAGCTGTTCGTACTACTGGCTCGCCAACGTTGTCGCAATGTTTAAAAAACGATGATCCGAATTTCTGAAAATGTCTAGTGAATTTCCGTCAATCTGATCTTAGGCAATTGTAAATCCAAAGTTCATTTTGTCTAGACGGGCGAAGCCGGAAAATTCGTACTATTTTGAATTTTTGGAAACGCTTGTCTAAATATCGATCCCAAGTACATCCAGCGTCATGCTAATTACACTAGATGACTGGTCTCCATACGTACGTACGTACGTACGTCTGATTTTCGTTGCCGGACACAATAATCGGACGCAGCCATCAAAAAACGGTCCATCCAATCTAACAGAAGTCGTAATCTTTTCGTTTTACACGTCGTACGTCTTCGCAGTAATTATCGCGACAGAAAAAGAGTACGTCATTAGTGCGCGTCGACGTTGCCGTGAATTCTGTTCATGTGACTAATAATATTAACTGAGCAGATGTACGGAGAACTAGCCGTGGGTCGATCCATTTAGAATGATCATGGCCGTGCTGGTTCCTTAGAGCCAACTACCGTGCTCGTTAAGTGAGTGCACGTGAGCACGTGGCAGGCACCTAGAGGACCCCGTGCCGATGGCCAGTGCTATACCGAATGTGGACTGCCTTTGATGAACGAAGAACGAGCGTTAATAAGCAAACCAACCCCATTGCCTTGCTCGTGCATTCACTAGCATGGCAAACGAAACACCGTCAGAGGCAGTACTAGATGAAAAAAACGAGATCACATCTAATGACTAGCGAAATGCAGGTAAAAAGCGTCACGGCAGAACAACAAGCACAAACAATCGTAGAGGAATAGACGCACGAAGTGACGGACGTACACATCTGGTTAGATCAATTTCATATTACGTGAATATCAGTTTCAAATATTTCGTGCCTGGAAGGTGACGGGGTGCCCCATCTTGGCTTGACTGGACGACCCCAATCCCACATGTGGCCATCTGCCGTCGCCGGACGCTGTTCGCCCGTGCTGACGACACCGATAGTCACTGCTTTTTTATTTGTTAGGCGGAGTATGTGCGGGTTTAATACCTGCCATTCCAGCTATTCGTTGTCTATAAGCGCAGCGGTAATGGCCGTAGACAGTTGCAGTAGTCGTCGGTAAACATCCTTACGCTGTATGGGCAGACTCGCCAATCAGGTTCCGAGCCGTCCGTTATCATACACAGCCAAAGTCAGGTTATGAAAACGGTTGTTTACACGTTTTGTAGCTTCTCCCTGATAAGTGATTGCCACTACCGAATATATTCTACAATTTCAAACGAGAAGGAGGAGCAAATAGGACTTTGAAAAAAGCTAATATTGACGGCTCAACTGATATAGAATAAACGTTGCGACGCGACCGCAGTTTGTGCGGGTATCTGCGTAAACATGAAACATCTTATATTGCATAGAGCGTCTAGAGGATATTTATAGATATCAGTAACACGACAATGAACGATATATCGTCTATAGGTTAATTGAAAATAGGCCAAACAAAAGAAGACTACTATGAATGAAGCAACGAATGTAAGGCTTGGGTATAGGTCTCTCTGTTCCTCAGAGGCTGAAAACAGTGAGTCTATGCAAATCTATAGATAAATGCAATACAACTGAAAACTAGTAATGATACTGATAGCTCAATCAAGAAAAACCCAGCAAGGAGCACTAGATTAAAGCGTCTCATTTTGCAAGACAAACGCTTACCGTGCCAAACGTGACGAGCTTGCTGTTTGGAGTATAGAAGTTGTACTTCTATAAAGTAACTAAGTAACGCAGTAGTCTAATTTTGAAACTCGATTGAAAGAATTAACTTTCGACCATTTGCATGTACAGTTTACATTCTCAAACAACGCGCGCGGATTCGAACACTGAGCTATACATTGTGATGACTATTTATATCGTGGTGGACACTAGACTTGGCTATCGTCGTAGACGGCAATATGGAAACTATATCGGAGATATCTGCGAGTCAACCAGCCAGCCAACAACAATTCATTCGTCAACAAAACAACAATGTTTATGTCTTTCTCGTTGGTGTCGTTATGGAGAAGGTGGGGAGGCGAGAAACCCCTATAAAGGCCTATGGGGCTATTGACTATCCCTTTGATATTGGCTTACCATGAGTGGAGCTGAATGGTATCGGTTGGGTATTGGGTTGACATTAAGCTTGCCCAACTTGCTGATACCGCCGGGGCTGTTGGTGATGGCGGTCGTGCTGCTGAACCTTCGTGGCGCTGAGAACCCGCATGGTAGTTTGCCTGCTGTCACAGAGCTGATACTGCTGCTGCTGATGCCGCTGTCGCCAGCGTTTGTAGTAGCTCCAGTCAGTCAGTCTAGTGACTTCGCTCCCACGTCATCAATCAATCGAGATCGTATCATACCATTGGTCCGGCGATGAGGCTCGCTTCCTCTGGACTCGTTCGCCAGGCTGCGCCAATGAGAAACGGTCTTATACAAACCTATAGACGACGGTTACAGACAAAGACACAGCAACGCCAGTAAGCTGTCGCGGTCAATAGATGCGCGACTGTGTATGTTGCATAGATGTTACAACGGCAGCTCTACCTGATCAGACTTCATCGTTAGCCTAGTACTTCTACTGCTGATTTATCCACTTCTGACGGTCTGGTTCCTGCTTTCATGCCGAAGCAATAATGGCACGTATAACTCACACCGCACATAGACAGCACCGATTTCATGATTGCCTTATGATGCCTTCTGTGCATCCCTAACCTGGTGACGAATTCTGATAGCATCATCGCTTTACTTAGAAAAAAGCGAACATAAGATCAACTAATTTAGTAAATAAAATTAGATCACTGGCTAATATATAATTCGGTCACCTATACGTTTGTCTGCAACGAAATTCTTCAAACCTAGCAAATACACCGAGGTGTCCACAATCACATGACAGAATACCGCCACGCGATTAACCCCGAGCTCCCTTCCTATTACGACAAAATTGCTATATTAAAGCGTCTATCTCATAAACTTACGTACGCAGAAATGCCGGATAAGCCTTTTCAGATCCTTTGGGATCTAGCACGCTTCCGGCAAATGTAGCACAGCAATCTCTGAGGCGTGCCATGCTGTGACGTCACCATACCCTTAGCTTTGCCTCCCTCTCGGCACAGGTTGCCCCTCTTAGTATCACTCGCTTTTCGTTACCTGATCCGAAATTTGCGAAATATGCTTCTGGCTGCCGACTATTAACAGTCCAACAACCGTATCTGAACTTCAATACTTCTCTGCATTCCTATGACCCATGCGAATGAAGCGGTAGTCCGTTTGCCCGAGCGATTTCGATGTGAACACCCCTAAGAGGCATGAATCGGCCTGGGGCTACAGTCACAGTGGGTTACGGTTACGCTAGAAGTAGACGCCACTATCATAGTCATAGTACAAATGGTTTAGACCACTAGTTCAGCGTACTCTAGTACATAGCGTGCAATCGTGTCGGTGGATCCACTCCGGTTGCGGCAGGGTGTTCAACCTTTGCTCCACACTGTAGGAGGTGACCCGTAGCAGGAGCGGCTGTTTTTTGGCTGTTCATGTCGGTAATCTGCCCCCGAGCACCAAGCCGTTCAAGCACGAGGTTGGCCTCGCTGACTTCACTCATGCATTGTCGTGCCTTTGTGCACACACGAGTTTCGTCTGCACGTACCGAAGCGATTGAAAGAGAAGCAAACTTCCCGAGGGACAGGTGAGTGAAAACCGAAATCGCCACTGTTTGCCGCCGTACCAGCTAGCTGTATGAGTTAACGCTGTAGCGGTATCAAAAGCGCAACGGCCTTGGGTATCTATAAAGCGGTAACTTCTGTCGACGCCGAACACGACAGATGTAAACATGCGGACAGCTGATTGAGACCGGCCAAAACGGGTACGGATGTCCTTACTAACGACTAGCAGGAACAGGGAAACTGCTTGACCTTCGGGTCTGAAGTGCAGGGGGCTCCAATGTCCCGTACGCGTTCAACCGATACCAGAGCATAACGCGGATGGTGCACCATATCTTCTGGGTAGCGAGCACTTTACACACCACTTCCGCGTCTGTAAATGACCGATGTCGGCTGATACGGATAGACGAAACACGTTGAGTACAACAAGTAGATAAAAGAGCCCAGCTAGTTTTTACAGGTCCTACTTGGGATGTCAAGAATATAGCTTCGTATAATACATTTAATGGATAGCGAAGAACTTCTTTTTAATAAGTTTATATAAGCTGATGTCTATTTATGGGTACGCTAAAAGGACTAACAAAGAGGTCGCGAAGGGAACCCGGCGTATCACAAGCTAATGCTGACATAATAGATATATAATTACTTGAATGTATATATATTAAACAAAGATAATACTAGCGTATTATTATTATTATCTTACTTATATAAATCAATCAGATGAGTTTTATCGTAATTACAAAACAACGATCGATTGTCTGTGATCGAAAAGGATATCAGGCGTTAATTATTGATTGACAACACCGTCATCACGAGGCAAGTGCTATGCAAGCTAGAAGAAATATCAAGAAAATTTGCATCGGTCCTTTCAGTTCTATACTATTGTGTTTTTCGTCTTTCAGTTATTGCAAACAGGGTTCAACAATGCACAAAAGCCCGCGCTGTGAATCCTTTTAGACTCCTTTCTTAGAATAGTGTCGCCTCTTTCATTTCTATTTATCTAGATTATGGGCCGCAACCCGTCATTATATGAGTTACTAATAAGTGACCGAAGTTTTGTTGTTTTTGGGGAAAGCATGCGTTTTACGACGATCGTCTCGACAATCGTCGTAATCGCTAGAAATTTATGAAATGTAAAAGTATTTTGTTTGCTCTTCAATCCAGCTTCTAGAGAATCAGTTAAGGATTAATCTTTCGAACTAAAACGAATGACAAAAAACTTTGTTCTTATTTACATTTGTTAAAAATCTATATATATTTTTTTATGATTTAATGAAAAGTGGATCTGTGCTTTAAGAAAATTTGTTAGTAACCAAGTATACTTGTCCAATACTTCGCGAAAAATGGTCCCAAAGTATATCTTATACAGTCTGGCCACAGAAAACAAATGCTGTATGCAGTTGTATGTTTTCTTACCAACTTAACAAAATGCATTACTCGTTTATGAAAGGTAAATCATCCCCGGACGTTACCTAATCGTAACGGTAAAGTTCACGATATACCACTTACATATATTTCCAGTTGGGTATTATTCGACCAGCCCATGCCGCGTTTAGGAAACTTCATAGAGGATGATACCTGGATTGATCCTCTTACTTCAAGAGTGCCAATCGATTATATGACAAAGACGTTTCGTAACTAATACTTACTGGAAGTGGGTGAGTATCTAAAATACCAGGCGACCCCTAATGAAAAAAACACTCGTATAGAATAGTGCTAACAAAAAACTCTTTCATCATGTCAACAGACCATTCATCGGCCCTTGTCTGTCTGCCAGAGATAAACTTTTGCAATTTTTGTTTGTACAGGTTTTTACTTTTGCGGCTCGTTCTTCTTTGGACGTCTGTGTGAATGCGCCCACATTTGTCTCACTTGTTATCGCGCATACGCGGTCCCCACTGGCACAAGTCCTCCTGCCTGCGCGTACGGACAGATTGCTAACTAGTCCTCGCCATCTTAACTACCTCACACCCAGCTACTGGCTTCGAGGTACACGAGCTGACCGTTCGTCTTTTAGTCAGTCTTTGGCTCGGACTTACTCTCGTTGTCGGAATGGAAAACGAGGCTGGGGCGAATCCGGCCCTGAGCTAGACAGGCGGAATCCCAACGGGGTTGTAGCATGTTGTACGCGCCCACCTCGCCCTTGTACCTTCCCTCTTTGTTTTATATTTCCATGCTGGCGCTGTCACGGCTGTCTGTCTTCTTTGTACACTCATCACCCCCTATCTCAGGTGAACCTGTCGGCATTTTCGATAATTCGCTTTTTGTGGCGCCTTTCGAGCAGCAACTAATGCACCGCTCGTCCCGCAGCGACAGCAGCGCCTTGTCAACGCAGTGCCGTTCGTCAACAGGCATCAACCAGAAGATCAGCCATCAGCAATAGGTGTCCCCGATCGCCGCCTAGTTCGTTGGCAGCTAGGTCAAATGGGGTGTCGTTGCGCCCCTCCTCCCCTAAATCCCAATAGCTGTCTCCTCAAGCAAGCGTGTCAGTCCAAGCTGTTCCCAACTTGTTCCTAGATTCTGCAGAGGCGCTGGGCCGTTCGCGGAGCTGAAGGAGATCAAGCGCTATATATATATATATATGCAAGCAAACAATGTGCGTGCCCACTACGACGTGCATGTACCTGTGCTAATGTTCATTCTGCTACCAATTCAGGCCACAACATCGACGATTGCAGTGGCGGTAGTAGCCGCAGAATCACCAGCGCCGCCGTCACGAGTCAGACACGTCGTGATGGCCACAATTGAAATGCTGAGCGCTATACATATAGAATACTATACGTATCCTCCTTCTTAGCTGTTTTATTGTTGCTGACCGCGCGCATCTTTTATATTATATACAAGCTCGCCCGACTATATTGAGAGCAACTAACGGCTCCGCCAGATTAGTACCATTGGGTTGTTTCCATGATAAACGGACAGCCAATACAGGCAGGTCACAGCTAGTTGTCTGAACCCAGCAATCGCCATTTGGCGGATGCATTTACACATAATTATATACGTTATATTATAACAGACACGCTCACGCTCAGTTTTAGGCCATAGCCGGTGTTGTTGCCGCTGCTGCCGTGATTGCTGTAGACCACAAGTGTAAAACTTACGTGAAGAGGCACACGATTGGGGCTAGGGCAGAATGGGTTACGGAAAAACCATCGGGGAACATTGCTCCGTAATAGTAAGCTAGACAGGAAGAATACTAGCTAGGTTTTCGTTGTTGTTGTTGTTGTTGTCATCGTCATCGTCGTTGTCGGCGGGGCTGGTGTGGCCGCTTCGTGCAGAAGACGAAGTGAACGATAATGTTGCTATCGCTGCTGCTGCTGACGTCGAGATCTTATCAGGTTCCAATTCAGTCAACGGGAACAACACGGCATCATTGGATGCATAAGCGAATAAACGAACGCTGTTATAGCTCACGTTGGCGTCGTCCTATAACTGTGGCCATCGTCGACATCGGGGTGATGCCGTTGATAAGCCAGCTCTGGGCCGCCGGGTACTGCCCGTCAGCCGACAGAGGGAACTAGAGGAAACGGAGACTATCGTAGTTGCAGCAGCGACAGCGTTGTAAGCAACGCTAATGTGAGATTGCTGTTAGAAACGTCGCCAACGATAACGATGACTCGATGCAGCCGAACTTCATCGGCTAGAACTTCGTAGTAGCAGTTAGTCGAACTCGCAAAGTGAGAGGACGATGTAGACGAAGGAAAGAACAGGAACTGAAGAGTCCGCATACAAACGAACAGAATGACAGACGTCATTATCACTGCTAGCATCACCATCAGCGCGATTATCATCATCACGTCACTGACATAGAGACAAACGCACAGGCTGGATTAGATACAACAGCAACAGGTACTAGTGACACAGAGACAATAAAAGATAGTTACACACAAACAGACACACGAAGAAAGGGGGGTGAGTCATTCTGCACAACTCAATAGTGCCCATTGCTATTGCTCTGCCCCTTTTCTCTTGTTTTTTCTTTTCCTCAGCCAACAGCAGCCTCATGTCGCTTGTTCGGCTCGTCGGTTCGTTGGCGAAAAGCAAAGCCTGGCTTTCTCCGGCAGGATCAGGGATCTCCTCGCGTGATTCCATGCCGTCCGGAACGGCAGGCAACGCCCGAAACAGTTCGCCTCGCTTGTCCTGATCTCGGATACCGATAGCGAATGATCACAATTACTACAAGTTTTACTGCTACTACGACTATCGTAAGAACTACCGAAGCTGATACACGCCATAGCCACACGGCCGTCACCACGGCTTTTCCCGTGTTATTATTATTGTAACAACGGAAAGGGTGAGCCAGTTTTGGCGGATCGCCCGCTTAGACAATCAGCTTGTATCCGACGTAAGATTTCGCATGATGCTTTCATGTAGGCTAGCATTCAAGTGCTGACGCCGTTGTAAGCACAATTGCTAGAAAGCACTAACACACAGAGTACAATATCTTACCGCAGTAAATAAATGGACATTTCAAATTGTATTTCTAGTATCGCTAATAAACAGTATCATTAGCAATGGTAAGTCCGACGCATGTCAAGAGCCTCTATAAAAGATGTCGACAAACCGGGCATCCCATCCATCTATGCATAGCGCTATATGTATGTATACAATTTTCCGGTGTTTGAACGCTAAACGAAGTTCGACCGACTGTCCAAACTCTGATAGTTGTCCGAGATCGATAGTTAAAGTTGTCGCAGCGGGACTACCGGACTGTCCTATCGGACAGCAGATCGTGTAGCTGTATGTAGGAGAGGAGTGCTTAGTACCAATTGAGTTTTCCAGACAAAGCCCACAAGTTAGTACGTCTGAATCCACCGTCTGAGCGCGTCCGCACGTATCAGTATTGCTTTGCTTACGGTGTCTATTGAAAAGTTAATCGCCACTTCGAAGATGGGATCTTTTTCTTTAAGTTGGCTTTTCCTCTGAAAGAATCGTTGTATTTTAGGCTACGAACCGTTACATTGAATGACAGTTACATTGAAATACACGTCTATCAGGAAGAAAATGACATCATCCAAATACATGCTCTAGGCCCACAAGGCTAGGAATAAACGAGATGAGGTTTCGAAATTTAGCAGGACTACCGTAAGCGTAATGTCGTGCCTACATTGGTGTCATTTCTCACCATTTCCGTTGCGGGCAGGAGTATACTAAATGGCTTTTTGCCATTTTTGTGCCTTCAGTCATGACGTATTCTGCCGTATACCGTTAACATCGCTAATTTTGGTAACGTTTCGCGTAAATAACGTATGCGTTCAGTAATAGATTTTGTTTATAAATACAATTTAGTTCTGCTGCAGATGTTTCCTTGCATCGCATTAGTTTTATGGCCACTTCTATAAGCCTCTTTTAATAAAAAATAGTAATGTATATATATATATATGCTTGCTGCTGTTTTGAAGATCGTTTGAAAGATTGAGAAGATCGTGTGTGTGATCGCTAAATATTAATAGTCAATAACTGATACAATATTGGATCGGTAGGTGGCGTCATCGCTGATGATGACGTAGCAACTATTATTGGCGGGAATTTTCTAATATTAATATGATAATCTATTACTATTATTATAATGAAGAGTGCTACGATGGCCAAAGACAACAGTGGTAGATAGGCGATGGTGTGAGCGTTTAAGCCACTGATCATTTGCCCTTTGACACCGATTAGTTATCGTGGCCGGGTGATAGGTATTCTATCTGAGGGCGGTAACGATATTATAGAGGTGCTACAGTGCGTATTGTATGACCGGCTTAGGAATATATCCATGTTTAGTGTTACTTCTCTATTTACCGCTGCCAAAAATCTATTTATATAGTTTTTCTCTATGGCTGGTTTCGATTTAACTGTGTTTTTTTTTTTTTTTTAACTGTACAGTTTGTGAAATTTGCTTTGTGTCAGCGGGAGCTTTTGCAGTTGTGTGCTAAATTGATCATGGGTTTTGATTTTCTTTTTTAGTTGATTTAAGTTAATTAATTGATTTTGAATTTAGCGTATAGCGGAAAACGGCACGGATTCGGATGTATCACATACTCCGAATGACATCATCTGCCCATTACCTGCGCATTGTCTGCCACAGTCATATAGATTCACTGCACTGACCTGCAAGGCCTGTGCATTTACCTTGTAAATTTTCTTATTAGATCTACTTTCATTGTTTTCTTCCTGTAAGTTTGTCAAAAAGTTATTTTCGTTTCACCAAACATTTAGTCTGTTCCAATGTATGGCGCTTTTCACTTGGTCACGCTTCGATCGTCACGGCGGCTTCCACTTTGGCTGAGTGAAATTTCGGTACTGTTACCGGCTTCTTTTAATACAACAGCGGCCAACAGGAAGAGATCGACAACAAAACCGTCTTCGCCGTTCCTGATGTAGTTTCTGCTGAAAAAGCCTGCCGGCTCATTGCTAAATCACACGTAGCGTATTTTCCGCCTATCTGGCCCGCTTTTCGCCGACTATAGACGACAGCTGGGAAAAGTAGCGATTCCTCGTAACATGTCAATGATTGTGTAGTACTCGACGATTTTGTCCGATATATTTATCGATCGTTAGTTGAACTCGACAGGCCGCATTGTCGATTCCCACTCTTTTAGTCCTGGTGTAAATAGGAAGTTTTCATGTTAGCCCTACAGGGTACTACAGATATCGTAGTAATTAGCACAGAATCTTTGACCGACGGCCTATTATCACAACGCTGTCTTTGGCCAATGAATACAAGCAACGTTATCCACAAGGGCATATTCTGGCACTTTGCGAGATACCCATTGCAAAAACAAGCTATTCGCACGTACATACTTTACAAATGATTACTCATAAATGATACACAAATATGATACGGTCGATATACCTGCTTATCTACATACAAAGTACATATGGTATGCAAGCGCCGAAACAAGAGCCCCCCAATGTTACGATATACATTGTAATTTTTTCGGGTATCACCGATACATTTATTTCATGTCCTTATTCAACCTAAACCTTAACTAGTTCGGTGTTAGCGTAGTCTATGATTATTCAGCAGTAAAATCATGTGGCGTCTTTTCCAGAACACATCTCCATAAGCATTTCCGCTACACACGTTCCGGCCCGGTATTTTGGTAGAGAATGGCCATAAATGATGGTTCAAGTTCTCTGGCACGACCCGATCATCTTCCATTTAAAAAACAAGCTGCTTTTCACAAGATTCGACGACATGGTAAAGCCGAAGTTCAACGTTTTCGCCTGTTCTCTGCGGCACGCAACAATTATTGACGTGTTGTGGTGTCAACGTTAGCGTTCATAGTGCTAAATCGAGTAATTCGTCCATCATGACATGCTGCAATTATACCAGCTCATTTCTGCTCTCATACTTCCCACAGCTGCTCCTGTTGTTGTTGTTATTGCAGAAGCTGATCAAGTCAATGGCTTCTGCTGGCAAGTTTCAGCTGTTCACAAGCAACCGACTTCGGCTCCCTTGCCTGCTTGCCCCTGTGCCGTTGGTCCCAGTGATGTCTGTTCAAAAGATCTTTTATCTGATCAGCCCCAACTGGCTCGAGCTGTCCCTTCTACTTCGTTTGGCGTCTGCTACAGCAGAAGACGGACGGGATCCCGTCATCGTTGTCGGTGGTGCACTTTACCGCTACAGATGGAGTGCTTATACCAAAGCTGTGACAGCCGTTGCTTGTGTCACCGGGACTGCCATTTGTAGGATGTAATTTTGTGATCGTCCAGGCGACGGTTCATGACTGAACGTCTGCGTGTGTATTGTATCCACTTGTCGTCGTGGCTGTTGTTTGTTTAAGTATTAAGGTGCTGTTTCTGGCGCGGATTTTGTAGGCTGGTAGACTTCAGTGTCCTCTATATGGCCGCCTAGTGCATCCGTAGGGTCGAAAAGAGGAGGTACCTCTTCAAGGGGCCGAACAATGAACAGGCGCCAATCAGGTCAAGGGTAGGCCGGGTCAATGATGAACTAATGCCACGTTTATCAGTCGATTTCGACGACAGACGATGGCTGCTACTATGCGGTCGCCTTAGTGACCTAACTGTCACAAGCTACGGTCAAGACATGTTGAGGACCGCTGAGAGGGATGTACAATTGAATCAGCGATGCCCGACGGAATAGAATCTTGGTAGGCGTATTACGTTTGGGCGCTAAGTTTTCGGTGATCAGGTAGGTATCAGCATGTAACAAGATCGCAATATGCGAAGAGGGTTATTAAAGGATTACGCGTTACGCTTATTAGATTGTGATTGGTACAGAGTTGTGCTTTTTTGAAATATGATGAACAATTCTCCAAACCTGGATTTAAATGACAAATCGCAGTGTGGCGTTTCGCATATATTCGCCCCGTTAGATGGTTCAATAGAAACGTGTTTGCCCACTAAAGTCGAAGACACGTAAGATAGTTTAGGTTCAACACCGAGCATACCCACGTTTCATATTTAAGGCCAACCGTCTGAGGGAATCCTCGGGCAGTAACTGACCTAGAACGCAAACGTTTTTATTAGGTATCTATGCCCTCTCCGATTGCCTGGAGTTCCCGTTAGTTTAATATATTTCTATGCATTTCATATTTCTTTGCTCAACGAAGTTGCCCACATTAGCAAACATTCAGGTAAAGTACTATCTCTTAGCGGGGTATTCCATCTTTCTTTACGAGTAAGCTATCTACGTTTCGTATGAGTACAAGAAACGACGATCCATAAATCATCAAACAGCTCCCATCAACGAGCCACACGTCAGTTGGTTCGTTTATGTTTGCAACTCGAATAAAAACGCGCGAAACTTTAAAACCATTATATCTATTCCCTTGCCCTCCGTCTCCATCCCAGGCTAGTCTGACTACCACTTCTAGGATCGAAAAGCTTTCTTTCAGCATACCGCGATAGACTACCCGATCCGTCATCTCTCGAATCCTCAGACCGGTTGTCCAGCTGGGTGGTGGCGACGTCACCGCGCGTAATGTCTTATCCCACTCCCTCTTGCTTCCGAATATTCGCTGTGTGACCGACGCGTGGACAAAAATCGAATGTTTCAATCCAACGTGACACTAACATACTGTCAGACCGAGGACACGCTGTAACTTACGGCATCGGCGCTGCTATTGTATAGATATAAGGATAGAGGATAGTGACAGGAATTTGTGAGGCTATCCACTCGATTTCTTTTTCTGATTTTTGTTTGTGCGTTGTCCTTCTTGCTTCCTTTTTCCCCTCTGTTGAATGGACGATGCCATGGTCTGCGACAGGCTTGCTGTCCACAGTGTATGTCTTGACCGCGTTGGATGACGACGTCATCATGACTTGATTCTACCTAGCTAGCCTGTATCATAGGCTGTCTTTGATACCGTTACAGCATTGTGAGAGCGTGCGAATCAGCCAGAGTCGGTAGCTTCGATCGGCTGGTCAGTCAATGTTGGGGTGGCGTGTGCCGGTCTCCTGCGGTGCGGATTAGCCCTGTCCCCGCAAAACGCCCCCATGAGCGTACTAAGAGGACAAGCGCACCAAGAGCTCATAGGGCGCAAGGCGTGAGGTTTGCGGCGTGCTGCCCTTGGTGTCATATGGCTAGGCCTGAGTTGGCGATGCTTGCGGTCAACGGTGTCGATTTGACTGGGAGGCGATTCCTGCAAACCCAACTTATTTTTCCCACCTTACTTCGACTTTTCCATTCTTTCCATACAAACATGGGGACAGATACCATAGAAACATGTACACGCACGGCGCAGGCTCCCTGTTAGCAGCTGACTTGGTATAAGCGAAAACCATGCGCTAGCTTGAAAGCGCTCACCCTAAAGTGATGGTATACTCCGTATGATAGGTAATACAACGACGGGTACTGCCACAAATTTCTATAATAACGTCTGTAGAGTGTGATATCTTATAACTATCTGTTTCCTACGATTTCGCATAATCAATGTATCATTTAGATATGTCTATCGTTTCCATAGGACGTTTACAAAGTTTAGCCATTGCTTCGCATACAATCGCCTATGCCTTACCTAAACCGCTTCTGCGATTACATTGTACGCTTTGCAAAAAAAATCAAGATAATATTTAACGGAACCTATCGAAGGACCTCAATATTATTAACATACTTACTAGGACTATATGGCCAACCAGTACAGTGACGTTCTGAATGATCGTGATCGACAAAGCCTTAGAAACATAACTGTTGTAATCAAATGAACTCTCCTGAAATACCTTCTTAATACTAGAAGCTATAAACGTAAATAGCGCCCTGACAAGTTCGCTGCACAAGAAAATACTGAATATCCTTGCCACCTAAACGCTTCTCAAAGTAGGACCACATGGATGCGCACTAAAACACACAAAATTTGTGATGGCATTCACCGAGATTTAATAAGGCAACGCCGTTCATTTCGCCGCATCAAACCGATGCTCAACGCAAGTGAAGTACTGGCCCTCGTCTATTAAATGGGGCATTCGGGCTTCCCCACATTCCTGTGGTTCGTCTTCTTTTCATCACTGCAGGTAATGTCGCCGTCGAATTTTACCACCATTTCTCTTTTTCATTCTACTCATCTGCCAGCTCTCCTCGGCTCATCGGGTCTGTTGAAGGCGTTCTCCTTCATTCAAACCCACACAAGGCTTTCGTCCTTGTTCTTCATTGCGTCGTGTCAGGAGTTCGCGAGTGAGGGGAGCGTGCGCAGTGCGCGTCAGGAGTCAAAAGCCTGAGTCATCTGCCTTCAATGTTCGTCGGGTATTGAACGACGAACACGAGTCTCGAGGAACTGAACCTGGGTGCAGTGTTGGAACAAGAGCAGGGGATACATATAGTATGGCATAGGGAGGCTGCGAGAGACGACCACAAGATGAATTTAGTGCTTTATGGCGTATTTAAGCCAAATAAGTGAGGTCATTTTTCAAATTCGACATTGCACCCATACATAGTGCAAAGCAGTAAGCGCGATCATGGCATCAACGGCCAAACGGCACTGTACATAGAAATAGCCGAAGGCAGGCCGCAAATTGAGAGAGTCACATATGTGGACACATGCGGTTGGTAGAACGGCCTGTGAAAAGGCCTAAGGTATCGCGCTGCAATAGCTGTCTTCCTTTTTTGAATAGGTATACGGGGGATTGAAACTGAAACAACGACGAGAATAGGCTCAAAATGGCGAAACTCGAGGCAATCGTAACCCTTGAAAAAAGGTGGGGTCTAGTTCTTCCCTTTTCGCAACGACCCCCTAAGACGACGCCAGCGGGAAATAAATTGTCCAATTTAAAGTGCAAAGTGCACTGGCTGGCGGCTTCGATTCAAAGTCAGGACCCGCGTTGGCTTATCAATTTCTGAAAACAGGTGATAGGGAAAATTTCCACATTAGAACAGCGTTCGGGCAGTCAGGCTATGGGAAATAAGCACACTAAGCTATATAATATATA